CCCCCCCTCATAATAACTGGTGCCTAACATTTTACATTCATTATCATTTTTGTTTTTTTTGCCATGTCAATGCAGAATAACATCCACAAAATGTTGCCATACGCCGTTATGGGAGGCAATGCCCTGCTTTGTGGTTTGCTGTGCTTGACTCTTCCCGAAACCGCAAACCAACCAACTCTTGAGACGATTGATGGTAAGAAATCTAGCACCCACTCCGAAGAAGAGGAGGACGAAGATGACGAGAAGACCAACGATAACAACAAAAATGTCACCGAGGAAGAAAAGGAAGCTTTAGTTAATGGAGAAGTTGCTGGTGATGACAATGCGTAGATAAAATGCATTTTACGGGCATAATTGGCCAAGGATAGGGATATGAAACTAGTAAACCAATTGTAAACTGTCTACATATTCATTGAAGTCGAAGGAGAATAGCTACGCGCTGATCCGGCAGGAATCATAACTCTGATTGTAGGTGTACGCTTTCATAGAACGACATAGGATAATTTTTCTGGCTTTAGAAGCTAGCATTCCATTTTTTGTTTAAAATTGTAGGAGGCGTTTATTTACGGACCTACGCTTCCACTTAAAGTGAATTTTTCATTTGGTAAAATTGACAAGTCATATTTTTCTTCTTTCGTGAACAGCCATTGCATTAAATCATGTTTTTTTTCAAACGTTGCGTATATTTCTTTTGTCATAGTATCTTCTTTACCCTCTTAATATTTTATTTTATTTTATTTTACCCACTACAAATATTTGAGCCTAATGTGGCCTTCGAGGAATATGGAGCAGAAATGTACATTGAAATAGTGCTGACTCACTCACTCACTCACTCACGTACCTACTTGCTTATTTACCATGAACCTGCGAGAAAACAGGTTTCCTTTGTAGGTTCTACAATATGTGGAATACATAATAAAGGTACAGTAATCAAGCAATACCTAACTGAACATGGCTCGGCTAAACAGCGCGCTACATGATCGAATTTTTTAAAACTGTCAACGGTCTAACATAATCTATGCGATTCTGGGGATCGTCTTAGATGCATAATCGAAGTTTCCGTAAAAACAATGATAAGTAGAGTTCTAGAATTAGAGCGGTTTTCCTTTTGTACACAATCAGTCATTTTTGGTAGAAAGCTATATATTTCCAAGAGTGATTTTCCGGAAAAACCCAAGCATCTGAATAAGGAGAAAAACAAAGGCATTCCGGCAAAAATTTTGATGCTGTTTATTATTCGATTTTGTGTGGTTGTTTCCTTCCTTCTACAAATGGTTATTGTCTGTTTTTTTTTCCCTTTTCATCATCGTGAGCAAGCAGCTCCATCTTTTGTCCTTCCTCTGTTGTTTCCATGACTTCCATGGTTGGTTGATCTCTTGTCTCCGGTAACGTCATGCACAGTATCCCAGCTATCAATGCGTTCAAACCCATAATTCCAAACGGGAGCAGTTTGTGTACACGTTGCTACAGCAATAAAAACAGCCAGTAATAATGATTAAAAAACAATAATCGGTTTACTTTTTTAATTGATTAATAAATGTCATTTAATATTTCTAAGAACCTCTGTTGGGAAAATGAAGACTAATGATATGGTAGAAGACAGTTCTGATAACGTTTAGGAATGGCGTGGCGTGCCTCAAGGCAGCGTCCTGGGACCCATGTTTTTCAACATGTTCCTCAATGACCACATCTTTCACATTAAGTCTGTAAGACTAAACACTTATGCTAATGACTGCCAACTGCACACATCTGAAGTAGACCCAGTAGCCTTGGAACAGCGGATCAATCATGATATACAAATGGCAAAAAAATGGTTCGAAGACAATGGAATGAAAGCCAACCCCGCTAAACACCAAGGGATGGCTCTTGGCAAAACCGATTACTCTTTCTCCTTCTCAAACACAAGATGCCTGGAACTTTTTGGAATAATTCTTGATAATGAACTTAATTTCAAGGAACACATATCCTCTGTATGTAAAAAAATAAATAATCAATTCAGTGTCTTCAAAAGAATTGGCAAACTTATTTCTACCGAAATTATGCTTCGCCTTTATAAAACGTTTATGTTACCCCATTTTCACTATGTTCTATGTTCAATGATATGGCACTTTTGCAATTCAGAGGACTCTGTTAAACTGGACACCTTGAATAGACGTATTTTAAGATTTGTTTTAAAGGACTGGGACTCGAACTATGATGATCTTTTAGACAAGGCAGGTGTGTGTGGTTTAGCCAACAGGAGGATACAAAATATGATGATTTGTATATTCAACTGTCTCCATCTTGGTAAATATCCGTGCTATTTGAAACAACTCATCAAGCTAAGATCTACTGCTTACTCCCTAAGGGTCACCAATATTTTATCACTTCCTAAGCCGTTTACAACCACATAGGGTCTAAATTCTTTTAGCAATTCATCTGTTAAGCACTGGAACTCCCTCCCTGACCACTTTAGAAAGACTAGATTATAGTGAATTCAAGCGCAAACTGTTAGTGCACGATTGCTGTTAATATTACATTAATAATACATTATATTATAATATCAATGATTATTATATTACTATATTATGAATTATATTTTTATCTTTTTAGCCTTGTTCTTGCTGTAACTTTTAAAATTAGTAATTAGGATCGGAGATACTAGCCTGTAAGCTACACTGAAATCCGAGGATAAATAAAGCTTATGTATGTATATGTATGTATGGATAGCTTTTTTCTTAGCCAGGTTGAGTCCTAAGTAATCCTGGGTTTCTGAAGCAAAAAGATGCTAGAAACAAGTCTGCTCTCCCTGGGGGGATGCTCGCTTATCGCAACTCCCCCCTGCCCCTTGCCCTAGAGTTTTTCCTGTTTCGCTGATTCCCAGTTAAACTCTAAGGGGGGTAGAGTAACCGTGAGAGTAAATGGCCTTACCCAAGAACACAGCACAAAATAACCCAGCCAGAATTCGAATCGAGACCTCTCGATCAGAGTTCCGCGCGCCGACCACAGAGCCGCCGCGCTTTTCACCATTTCTCGTATTGAGGCTAGCCTTAAATCATGTATCCTTTACATCGATTATGTTTCTCAGTTGTCGATATCTCGTTTCGTACAAAGTGCATTTCTCTAAACATGTCCTGTGTCACTGTGCACTGGATTTTTTCTTTCGCGATATCTCCTCGAATGTTCTTCCGTGTAGAGAATCATATTAAAGACAGAAACAAACTATTACAAGGCACAGTGAAAAGTCATGAACGACAATTAAACTTACCGAATAAACAATGTAAGTCGAGAGAAATGATCCAACGCGGGCAGCAGAAGTAGAAGTTCCCATTCCAACATTTCTGTTAGTTAAAACAAACAAAGATGAGTAGGAAAAAGTCGATGTAAAAGTGAACAGTAGATCCCTAAGGAAGACTGTTTGTAGTCTCTTGGTTAACTGTCGGAAATCTGTCGATTAAATGACGACCGTCTGTCGTTTACGTGTCGACCGTTTGTTGGTTGATTGTTGGTCATCTGTCGGTTGTCTTTCGGCTGAGTGTTAAATTTCGTGTTTTTTTCACCGTTGTAACTGATGTTCATCTGTCAGCAGACAAGTTAAGTTAGCTGTCGGCCAACAGTTGGTGATGACTCAATTACAAGGTTACCGTGTTACCACGATAGGCACAAATGACCAGTGACTATGCTTTAAGTTGAAACTAAGTTGAAAAAGGCAGATGACCTTCTGACTAACCGTTAAATTTCTGATTAGACAGTTAAAATTCCAAAGCTATTATGTTAGTTGGACCCATTCCAGCGACTTTTGTGACCTATACAGAATTCTGATTTGTTATCATCATCTTCGTCTACATCGTCGTCGTCGTCGTCATCAACATCATCGTCATCATCATTATTCTTGTATAGCTCCTCGGACAAACTGTCCTTGCAAAGATAGGTAGATAGGTACATAATTACCTGAAAACTGTAGGAAATAGCTCAGCGGAATAAACGTAAAATCCGTCGAAAGCAAAGACGATGAAAAACTTGGCAATGCACAACGAAAAGATAATTTTTCCAGCCAGAATTCCTGAGATGGAAAATAGACAAACGCACAACTGTCAGCAGTGATAAATCCACTCTAATCCCCATTTTTTGAACAAAATGTCTTTCTAGCGTTTGTTTTGAGTCACAAACAGCCGTTGAGGCTCTCGGGAAAATTCACGGTTGCACGCTTGATACATGTAGGCTCGAAGAAGAAGTTAAAAAGCATGTGAAAAAATTGTGTGAAAAAGAAGACAGTTTGCTTTTCAATTACCATTTACGTGTCTTGCTGATGCATAATGCCATATGCATGAGAAATTATCAGACAAATTTAGTGAATCTGAATTTTACCATTGCGAGCGCCTGAGTACACTCCCAGAGAAGCGTCGTTAAACGATGAGCTGTACTTGGAATTGGGATGGGGATGGGAATGCCATCACTAGCTACTTTTTCGTTGAAATCGATAACTAAAGGATTTCAACTAAATAAATCGATTAAAACTACCAACAGGTAAAAATCGTAAACAATCCGCAATGTTCAAAATTTCCATTCATCCAAAACAGAAAGAACTTTACTAGATGGCCTCTGTACCTTTGCTTTCTCCATCGTCATATAGAGTGAGCACAACGGATCCAAAGGAACCAAGAGCAGAAAAGAAAAGACCACAGCATATGGTCTTCTTGCGGCCAAATCTGTTGAATGTAGATGCACAATTAGGATTTGGGGGAAAACTGCCAAAAGTGGGAGCAATCTCGTTTTACGTTAGGAGCGGGACGCAACCGAAAGGTGGTAGGGAGATACTTGCAATGGGGTGAATTCACCATAAACCAGCAAAAGTAGTAAGGGGCAATTCAAATCTAAGAAGCTCGTTTCACGAAAGTTCCTTTTACTTTAAAAACCCAAGCTTATAATTAATTTCAAAACCTCTATCTAGGGAGTAGCACTAAGGGAATATGCTCAAAACCAGTCCATTCTATGCATTTTTGTATGAATTTCCTAACGTTAACTATCACAATCTTAGTCTTGCAATGAGTATATATGCCAAAAAGACGAGCAGCTTTTCGATCAGGACCGAAACCTACAGATACTTTCAATAAACGGGCTTCAGATCGCTGACGGAGCATATAGCATTATTGTTGTAGACAAACCTATTACATCCCCAGGCAAGGGCAGGGTAGGCGACCAAGGCTACAGTGCTTGTGATGAAGAAGTTGAGGTACACGTTACCACCAACAAACGGAGAGCTGTAGGACACTCCGTAGTACACCATACCATTTACGAACCTAAAATATGGAAGCGGGAAAAAAG